GTCTCTCTCACCCTCTTGCTCTCTCTCTCTCTCTCTCTCTCTCTCTCTCTCTCTCTCTCTCTCTCTCTCTCTCTCTCTCTGTCTCATTCTTACGTTTCTCCCTCGTCGTCTCAACGCCGCGGCGTTCTCTCTCGAATGAGATTACTGAATCGGAATCAGTTAACATCCTTAAGAGGCGTCTGGCGTCGTACTCACTCGGACTCGAGCATACGGTTGTGTTTATTAACTCTCTTCTTCCTCTAATTAGTTTCTAACGTCGTGCGCAAATATTTCATCGTTGCTTTAATTCCTCTCTTCCCCCTTCTCCCTCTCTCTTTCTCTCTCTCTTTCTCATACACATATTCTGCGTTCCTCGAGATATATGCTTCCCTGCGCTACACCCTCCCATATTTTACATCAAATTAAATTCTACCAAGTTTCCCCCTTCGTCTTTATTAATCTTCTTCACTTCACCTCTTCTACTCGCCGAATTCCGGCATCGGTGTTTTCAAGTTCGCTCGCTGTACCCCTTCGATAATCTAATCCTCGATTGTTACTTCATATGCGAAACGTAAACGCAGGAAGATCCGAATGCGCCGATGAATTGAGGGAATCCAAGGACCAAAAACAACGCGATTTTGTTCGATTTCGCGGTATTAATAAACGCGCCACTCCGCCTCGCCTTTTTCTCGCGTCCTCTCGAGGCAAGACGGGAAGCAAAGTACGGCCGCCACATGGCGCTGGCGCCAACCTCGTCTGTTCGTTGCTCTCCTTTTATTGCCTTTCCGAGAGGAGTCATCGTGATCGCGCGCGCGACGGGATCGTCTTTCCTTTCTGGTCGGCGATCGCGCTGACCTCGACGTGACGCGACGTGACGCGACGCGACGACACGCCACGGCGCGATCGCGACGCCAGCTTTCCCGAAAACTTTTTGCGGATCCCGCGCACCTTGGAAGCCGTCCAGCCTTCTAAGATAGGAAGAAGGGCTCTTGCTCGCGGAAGGTTCGTGATCCCGTCGTGCGCGATAAGTATCCGGTGACCGGAGCCAAACATAGATTTCCCGCAGCTTTTCGGGCGCCGTGATTTTCCCGTCACGAACACTCGCACGTTCGTGTCAGACTGTGATTGGTGAGAAGGGACAAATATAAACGTGGCCAATGGCGTTTAATAGCTTTTAATGCCTGATGTAAATCCGAGGGATAATCCGCTGCTCGCCTGTTTGTGTGCGGCACGAGTCGAAACTGCCTGTCGAAAACACCACGGCGTAATGTGTACACGGGACGACATTAAATCACCGATCGACTCGCAATCAATGCTACATTCGCGAGACGTGTGACTTGTAGCGCTAAAACTATCACAAAGCAGCTCAAATTACGGATTTCTTTGTTTTTCATAAGAATTGCTTGTATGATGCATTTTATATATTTAATGTTTTTTCCCTCGACTACGTATCTCTCCAAAAACCTATCGCGTTCTGACCGCTCTGGTAGAAATAGGTCATTAGTCCGTCGGTAGATTTAGCATTAAAGTTCCTGGATACTTGTGGCTATCTTGATTTATGACGTCAAGAGTGAGAAAGCACACGCTCAAATTTCCTGTAAAATACGTAGAAATAAGATGTATCTATAAAATGGCACTTGCAATCGATCGAGAGAATCTGCGAAATAGTCTGAACACTTTCCTTTTGCTCTGACAATCAATAAATAGACGCAAAATCACAAACATGACAAAATCACGAGAAAAGGTAGGATGAAAAGGAATCCATCACGCTGGTTTCACGGTAATTTATTGATTGTTAGAGCAAAATAACTACTTCACAGCACTTTTGTTTCCTCGATCGATTGCAAGTATCATCTTACGGGTATCTCTTCATTTCTACGTATTTCACAGGAATTTCAAATGTTTGTTTCCTCACTTCTGACGTCATCAATCAAGAGTTCCGCGCGAGTAACCAGAAGCCTTAATCTCGTGGTCAGAGACCGGTGGTCTCTGCATTCGTCGTCAATCGGGGCTTCGAAGGATTCCAGCGAGTGATTTTATCCGAAGAGGGAGAGAGGAGGACGATTAAAGGCCTCTTCGTGTTACATCGAGTAGAATTTCTCGTTCGCCAGCTACTTGATTGTAAAGCGGAGAAGTTACACAATATAGAGGCAGAGGAGCGCGAAGAAGAGAAACAGAGAGAGAGAGAGAGAGAGAGAGAGAGAGAGAGAGAGAGAGAG